GGAATCCTGTGTGTAAAAAGGCAGTACGCGGGGGGGGAGTGGGGGGGTTCGGCCACTCCCAGCACGCCATCAGGGGAAGAGGGAGAGTAGTATTCATATTGAGTAATTGTGGAGGCGGGGGAGGAGGAGGAGGAGGAGGAGGAGGAGGAGGAGGAGGAGGAGGAGGAGGAGGAGGAGGAGGAGGAGGAGGAGGAGGAGGGGGAGGGGGAGCGGGAGGAGGAGGAGGAGGGGGAGATGGGGGGAGCAGGGGGGGAGAAAGGGGGAGCTGTCGCCAGAGTGACCTCTGGTACGGGCCCAATGGGGTCCCTCGATCGCTGAACGCGACGCAGTAGCAGCGGCTTGCGCGCCCAGGTTTCGCTCCCCCGCGTCCCCCGCGTCCCCCGTTAAGACGCGCACCAAAGGTCACTCTTGCTTAGGGCCACTCTTGCGTGTAGTCGATATCAGCTGAGTTAGTCTAAGATTTCGGGCGGGTGGTAATGGGAGGTGGTCTTATACTACCTGTTCGGGTCGGACGCGCGCCTTCAAGGAGGACTTATAGTTTTATGATTTCCCTGGGCGTCCCATTTTGGGCCCCTGCCGCGGATGAGGAGGAGGAAAGGAGGAGGAGGAGGAGGAGGAGGAGGAGGAGGAGGAGGAGGGAGGAGGAGGAGGGAGGAGGAGGAGGAGGAGGAGGAGGAGGAGGAAGAAACAACATAAGCATACTTAAATTAATAATGATATAAATAAGACTAAACATAATGGTAATACAATTAGTAATAATTTTACCAATAACAATAAGAATAGTACTAATACAAATAACACGAATAATTTATGATACTACTCATAAGCCGCACTAATAAATAATATTTGTACTCAGAAGAAGAATACGAATACTAATACGAAGAATAATACGAAGAAGCAAAGGACTAATAAGAGCAATACTAATAATACGTATAACTAATACTACTAGTTCTTATTCGTATACTACTAATAGTATTACTAACACTGAAAATCGTAATAATAACACCCATAATAATGACAAATAGTAATAGGGACAATAAGAAACATAAAACATAAGAGGAGGAGGAGGAGGAGGAGGAGGAGGAGGAGGAGGAGGAGGAGGAGGAGGAGGAGGAGGAGGAGGAGGACCTCCTCCCCCCTCCAACTTCTGGTGGTGGTGGTGGAAGGCACAAAGAAGCCCACCAAACATGAGCCCCTCCGCGCGCCTCCCTCGCCGCGCTTGGGCCCACCCGGCGGCGCGCCCCCCCCCCCCTCCGGCGCGGGGCCCCGCGGCGGCCAGGGCCGATGGGCGCAGACACGCGCGCGGGGCCGACGCGGAGCCAGAAGGAGGAGGAGGATGGGGGGGGGAGGAGAGAGGAGGAGGAAGGAGGAGGAGGAAGGAGGATGGAGGAGGAGGAGGAAGGAGGAGGAGGAGAGGAGGAGGAGAGGAGGAGGAGGAAGGAGGAGGAGGAAGGAGAGGAAGGAGGAGCAGAGGAGGAGTAGGAGGAGGAGGAGGAGGAGGAGGAGGGGGAGGGGGAGGGGGAGGGGGAGGGGGAGGAAGAGGAGAGGAGAAGGATGAGAGGAGGAGTGAAGAGGAGAGAAAGGAGGAAGGAGGAGGAGGAGGAGGAGAGGAGGAGAGTTAGACGAGGGCGAGGAGGAGGAGGAGAGGGGAGGAGGAAAGGAGGCGGAGGAGTAAGGAGGAGAGGAGAGGAGGAGGAGGAGGAGGAGAGGGGGGGGAGGAGGAGGGAACAGGAGGAGGAGGAGAGGAGGGAGGGGAGAGAGGAAGAGGAGGAGGACGAGGGCGAGCAGGGCTAGCAGGACGAGGAGGGGAGGAGGAGGACGAGGGCGAGGACGAAGGGAAAAAGGAGGAGGAAGAGGAGGAGGAAAGGAGGAGGGGAGTAGGACAGACCCCCTCGCGTTGTGGGAAAATCACGACTCCTCCTCCTCCTTCTCCTCCTCCTGCTGCTCCTCCTCCTCCTCCGCCTTCTCCTCCTTCTCATCCTCCGCCTTTTCCTCCTCCTTTCCTCCTCCTCCTCCTCCTCATCCTCCTCCTCCTCCTCCTCTTCGTGCTCCTCCTCCTCCTCTTCTTCCCCCCCCTAGGTTGTGGAAGAATCATGACGGGAGTGTTTTTTGCTATTTTCGACCCCTGGGGGCCCTCGGGGGGGCCCTTACCGGCCTCTGGACCGTCTGGGGGCCTTGGGGGGCCCTTACCAGGAGGGTCCTTATACTGGGCCTCGGGACCGTCAGAAAACAACTCGGGATGCAAAGCCGGTCCCGGGGAAGGGGTCGAGACCCCTTCCCCGGGTTGGGGGGGGTCACGAAAGGCAAGGGTCGAGTGCACGCAGGAGTAACCTTTCGCCGGGGTGGCCTTTGATGCGGGCACATTAGCCCCCTGATCGCCGGACGCGATGCGATGGTAGCGTCTTGCGCGCCTGTGTTTGGTCACCCCGCGGCCCCCGAAAAGCCGCGCACTCAATGTCATTCTTGCCCAGGGTCACTCCTGCGTGGTGTAGCCCAAAGGGCGGCAGGTAGGGGCAGCCGCCCTTCTTGTGTCCGCGGCGCTCTTCGACCTGCTGTGCTTCCTCGTCCAGTTATGTGTTTAGGGTTCAGGGTTTAAGCTCGCCTGAGTTTTTTGTTGTTTGCGGAGAAGGGTGCAGAGTGGAATACACGAGCATCGCGCGGGGAGGGGGGCATTGGACTCTGGACGTATCGGGAGCCTTGAGACGGGGGTTATTGCAAACGGGGGTCAGCCAGAGCGCCGGATTTTGCAGGATCTTGCAAAGCCGGGGTTGCATGGTCCCTGGCTAGCGCGCAGGATCCTGCAGGATCTTGCAGGATCTTGATAGGCCAGACTGACCTCGATTTACATGGACCTGGGCCAGTAGATCCACGCCAGCGTCGCTGACGTATCGCCGACGTCGCTGATGCTCCGCCAGTGCATCGGCAAGGTATCGGAGATGTATCAATGCTGCGACGCGATTCTCCGACTCCATCTACTCAGACCCCATGTGGGAGGCCTCCAATGTGGCCGTGGCCAAGAGGGAACGACGGCCACTGTATGGGTCGCGGACCAGCCGGTGGTCCCCGAGTTTGTCCGCGCACAGATGCAGCGAGGATGTCCCACATGTTCTCGCCTGTTTCGCTATTTGTTGCCAGTTTCGTAATTACCAATTGTGCAGGGCATCGTGCTTTGACCCGACGGAGCAGACGAAGCATTCGCCGCGTGTCCACTTTGATATCTGATACTATTGCGAAACAGAGTTAGCCGAAGTGCAACGTTGAAATGGCAATCTGGAAACTTCAAACAGTAAAATTTGCAATGGGAACTTCAAACAGTACAATTTTCTCGCTCACCCGAAAGGCGGGGACCGCATCCTGAAACCGACGCCCCACGCCAGGACCAAAAAAGGGGCTCATCTTCATTGGTGTCCAATTTGGAGCCCTAACAGTCGCGTAGTAGGTCCCTCTTGGGCGCTCTCGGGGCAGTATTGCAGCCCGGTTGGGGCTCTCTGAGGCAATCTTCGAGCCATCCTGAAGGTTCGGAAGGTCATCGGGCACGAAACGGCGAGGAGGAAACCATCATGTGTTTCCCCCCAGGTTTCACATGAGTTTGGCCTTTCGGGGGTGTCATTGGGAGGAGTCCTGGCCATTTGGTGTCACCTTGAGCGATCTTGCACCAGTGCCTATTGCCTCACAGTCGGCCTGGACTAGTAGGTCGACCTTGCCAGATCAAGAGTACCCTCGTGTCCTGTGTCTCGCGACCCATGCCTCCTACATTCCTGTGACAGTGTGCTCCTCGGGAAGGGTTTTGTGTCCTCTCGCACGTCCTCTCCAATCAAGTCCGACTGTATCCTGGAGGGCATCTTCGGCCATCTTGGGCCATCTTGGAGGCTCTGACCGCCCCCCGCTCCTCCCGTCCAGACCCAGGGTACGAGGCAGGGGGAGCTGTCCGGCGATCCACAAGCCGCAAGCCGTCTCGCCCATTCCCGCACTCCCTCCCAACACATCAGTAGCACCCGAGTCTCAGGACTCATGTGTGTGGTGTGTACACGTGTGTGTGTGTGTGTGGTGTGTACACGTGTGTGTGGTGTGTGTGTGTGTTTGTGTGTGTGTGTGTGTGTGTGTGCGCGTGCGTGTTTGCGCGCGCGTGTGTGTGTGTGTGTGTGTGTTTGTGTGTGTGCGTGCGTGGTCGTGTGTTTGTGTGTGTGTGTGTCATGTGTTGTATCTTCTACTGGTGGGAATAATTGGCCCGGTGTTCGCACTGGGCGTGGTTCGAGGCCAGCATGTTGGGGAAGGGGTGCATTTTATGTCAGCAGGAGTGGGTGGTTTACCTACCCCAAGAAGTACAGATTTTTCGCCCCCCCCTCGCCCGCCCTCCCACCACATAAGTAGCACCCGAGCCTCAGCATTGGCAAATGTAGCCATTGTTTGGATAGCCAGTGGGCACACTGCATGCGCTATGCTCTGTCTCCCCAATTAGAGCTTTGCGTAGCCCGCCTAGCTTTTAACCGGAAGAGGTTTGCTCTCGACCCGCAGACCAAAAAAATGTCCGCATGCGCCTTTCGATTCACTGGCACTTTCGTCGACCCGAAAATGTAAAGGGAACGCGGGGCGCCCGCGCATGGCCAAGATCCTGCCGCAGCGTGCACTCTGTATTGGTTTATAGACGAGGATGGTGTGCCTGCCCTGGCCACGCAATATGCT